GATGGATGGGTAATCTGTAAAATCAAAACTCACATTTATGAATGTTCAGGAAGCAAGTCGACTAAAATAATTTCTCAAAAAGCTAAATGTTGTGTGTTATTACAAACAGTATGATTGATTTGGGTGGCATAATGATGGTACTGTATATTTTTTGAGGTTTAAATGAGTCATTTAAATTTTTGAAATCTTATTTTGTAGGTTTAAACCAAATGAAGGGGTGATCATCATCGGGGCAACCAACTTCCCGGAGGCTTTAGATAAGTATGTTTTGCCTCTTATTCCCAGCGAAAATATCACTGCTCATATTTTAGAAATGTCAAAGTTTACAGTCTTCATTCTATCAGTTGTAATTGGCAATGCAAACAAAAAAGAGCTAAACCCTCCGGGCTGTGTTTCAAGTTATATGCTTGCACTTTATCATCTCTTTTTAACCAACTGACGTACCCTTGCAGTGCCCTGATTCGCCCAGGGCGTTTTGACATGCAAGTGACTGTGCCCAAACCAGATGTGAAAGGACGCACAGAAATTCTCAACTGGTACCTAAAGAAGATCAAAGTGGATCCAAGTGAGAAATTAGAATCTGCTAATGAGGAATAGGTTCATTATAATGCCCTTTCATAACCACATGGATGTTGTTTGTTATTTCTGCAGCTATCGAGGCCAATATTATTGCCCGAGGCACCGTGGGCTTCTCTGGTGCTGACCTTGAAAATCTGGTGAACCAGGCTGCCCTAAAGGCAGTGGTTGATGGCAAAGACATGGTCACTATGAAGGAGCTGGAGTTTGCTAAAGACAAAATCCTCATGGGTGAGTGATAGTTTGGTGTAAAGATGTACATCATCGAAAGTAAAGAGGCTACGATAACAGCAAACATCACGAAAGTCAGATGATCCCCTTTGAACAAGCACTGTGAACAGTGGTCTTTTCTTTGTTTTTCCTCAAGGCCCAGAGAGAAGGAGTGCAGAGATAGATGATAAGAACAAGCGCATCACGGCGTACCACGAATCAGGCCATGCAATTGTAGCTTTCTATACCAAAGATGCGATGCCAATCAACAAGGCTACCATCATGCCCAGAGGCCCCAGTCTGGGACATGTAAGGAAAGCTGGAGCTGGTTCATACTCTCACTACATAACTTTAAACTTGAATGCCTGGTTAAAACTTTATCTTCTACATCCTCAACTTCACCTTCAATGCTTCTTTGAAGGTCTCCATGCTTCCAGAGAATGACAGGTGGAGCGAGACTCGCTCTCAACTTCTGGCCCAGATGGATGTCAGCATGGGCGGGCGTGTAGCTGAGGAAATCATATTTGGCCATGATTACATCACAACTGGTAAGAAAATGTCCTTGAAGTGACCAGAGAGTGAGTGAACTGGGAGGGTAGATTGTACAAACACACTGATTCTTAGGTGAAGAAAGTTGCAGGATAAGGTGGAATTAATGATTTATGATGTAGGATTGAATGAGTCATTTCTTGTTCTTCAGGAGCATCAAGCGACTTTGATAGTGCCACCAGGATTGCTAAGATGATGGTAACCAGATATGGAATGTGTGAAAAGGTATATTTGCTTAAAAGCAGCACAAAGTGAAAGACTTTGTCCTTACATTCATTTTTTTCAAGCATCCCCTTTGCCTGTGTGTCTCTTAGCTGGGTATAATGACCTACACTGATCTGGCAGCACAAAGCCCAGAGACACAAGCAGCTGTGGAGCAAGAAATCAGAGTGTTACTCAAGGTCTGTGTGATCTGTTATATAATGTTAAAAACTAACTCTGCTCCTGTTCTTTAAAAAGAAAATTACATTTTGTTTATGTTCTCTGACATCTTTTCTCTTCCTCTCTCCAGGAGTCATATGAGCGTGCCAAAGCCCTGCTGAAGTCTCATGCTAAAGAGCACAAGAACCTGGCAGATGCTCTGCTCATGTACGAGACACTAGATGCCAAAGAGATTCAGCTGGTCCTGGAGGGCAAAACCCTGGAGACCAGATGAACCCTGAGAGTACCCAAATATCTCTGGGCACAGGCGGAGGAGGAGGTAGATTTTAAGAGGTCAACTGATAGAAAAAGGAAGGATGGACTCAGAGGCCTGCATTTATAATGTCACTTTACAAGTGTTCCTGTGGGGAAAATCCCATCCCTTCATGCTGTCTCACCTTCACAGACTCCCATCACTATCCCCAGATAAGTAGTGCTGTTATTTAAAGCATAAACATGAGTGCCCCGTGTTCACATGTAAGCAGCAGTACTGGCTCACTGTATGGGATTAAAGGTTGAATGACTAAATGTTTAATATTAAAAATTTTGCTCAGGTCATTTTATTGCTTGGTGGGAGGAAACAAAACATGAATGTAAATATATACTGCTAACATAACAGCATCTGAATTTCTTTTAGGGTTCCTCATAACTCAGCTGTATCACCATATTAATCTTTAGCCAGACAGACAGATTCACTTCTGGTCAATTGGAAACGCCACATATATTATCAACCCAAAGAGGTCATTGTTGATACAGCGTCCAGAATATATGTGAATCTCTACTCATGTTTCAGTTCTCTTCATGTGTTTGTGTTCATATCTGATATTTGTGAGGTGTGTTTCCAGTGTATCTTACTCCCCTGCTGCTTTCTTTTGAAGGTTACTATATAATTTTTTTTTTCTTCCGAAGTAGGATAAAGTTGAACTACAATGGCTCAGCACCTTGGCTAAGCGTGGATATTTAAAATGTTCGTGTGCACTCTTTGTGCCCTTAATTTTCTTTCAAGCGTACAAATGGAAGAAAAACTGCCCCTCAGCTTCAGAAAAGCACGTGACGTAAAGTGGCTGTGTTTGGTGTAGCAATACAGCTTTGGGATCGGAAGGCTTTTAGTTCTGAAATAAAAATAATGCCATAATTTATTTAAAAAGTTTGAGATTGGCTTTTGGAAGCCTCATCAGTGACATAGTAGTTTCTCTTGTACATGCAAATTGTGAAATAAAGACTCTGCAGTTATTCTGAGAGGCTAAAAGGCCAGCTGTCAGTATTGTGCTTCAGTCCCCGTTCTCATCGCTTAACTGTCGAAAGGCTTCTAGCCCGTGTCTGGTCCTGCATACTGGACTGCTTAGTAAACAAATCTCCATAGCACAGTGGACAAACAATGCTAAATGTTTTGTGGTACTTTTCTCCAGGTGTGAAAGAAGATGTGAGGGGAAAATGAATTTCATTTAATTGTAAGATGACTCCAAATCAAACACTTACCAGCACAGATTGTCTGTACAAATCTACGTCAAAGCAGTGAATGTCTTTCTCCAAATGTGTATGTAATCCATATTTAGAACGCTGATTTCAGCATGTTGTGCATCTTGATGTTTGATTTTTATTTTTTTTTCCAGTTTGCCACAGTATATTCTGTTTGTTCGCCTTTTAGTGAGTAACTTATCTGTGTATATATAAGGGGTGTAAGGGGAACATTGTATATAGATGTATAGTGAAGCTTTTATGCTGTGTACACTGAATGGCTCTCTGCTGTACATCTCTCCTCAGTGTAAAGGAAAAGGAACCCAAATAAAGACTTAAGTGTGTACAGGTGACTTTATTTATTTTAAAATGCACATAAAACAACACTGTATATACATCCTTGTAATAAGTGACACAACTAAACACCCCCCAAAATCTCAGCAATTATTAAATCTTTATTCAGTTCAATTCAAATCTGTTTGTTTATGTAGCACCAGGTCATGACCTCAGTTGCCTCAAGGTGTTTTGTATTGTTAGATAAAGAGCCTACAATATTAGAGATGAACAATAAATATATATAGATGTATAGAGAGAGATAGATAGATCGATATAGATACTTTCAGTGTGTGAAAACACACTGAAAGTATCTTAGCATGAGCGCACAGGTTTGCTATATTTTAAACAATAGTCCTTTTTTTATATATATATATATAT